GATTGAGAGGGAATGAGAAAGGATGAGAGGGAATGAGGAAGGTTAAGAAGGAATGAGGAAGGTTGAGAGGGAAAGAGGAATATAAGGAACTACGGAAGGGACAGGGAAGGGAAATAGAAGGTGAAGGTAAAAGGAAAAGAGGGTAGATAGGGAAGGAAGGGAAGGGAAGAATCGATGGAAGGTTGACAGATAAAGAAGTGAAAGAAAGGGAAACGTAGGAAAGGGAAGGGCTGGAGCTCTTTACCTCTACATAACTGCATAACTTTATCTAAATACAGAGAGTTTTTCATAAACAATTTTCCCCATAAAGTTATAATGCAGCAAAAAAAAGTGTTAAAATTTTTTCATAACAAATATATGATAAAAGAATGCTCATTTCTCAATAATTTTTCCAAATAGTCAAATCTACTAAAAAAATTCATAAATTCTCCCCAAAGAAAAATGATGGGAAATGAATTCCAAGAAACAATATAAGTTTTTTAAAAAATTTGCCTGCAGTGCCATTAATATTTCTTAAAATGCATCATTTTGGATTATTATGCACTACAAAATAAATATTAAACATGCACTTAAAAACTTCGATTTTTTTCAAAATCGATTTTTTTAAATTTCACGAGGACCGCGAACACTTGAGCTTGTATAAACCATATTTTACCTTAATATTTTCCAGAATACCCTCGTAACCACCCGACCTCGGCCCAACACGTCCTGCAGGTATAACACTGAAAACATAATCTTCTTTAAAGAGATTGTCAACGTAATTTACAATGAATCCACATTTTAATTGGTTTGGTAATTCTTAAATTCATATTTTTTTTTATTTTTCGTTGCCTTTTCTTGACTCATAGATCTCTATTGATCAAGGAATGTGGTTAATATTATATTTTTACATTCCAAAAATATAAAATTATAAGAAAAACATATCTTTCTAAACCGTAAATCTATATTTGAAATATTTGTATGCTTGGGAAACATTACAATTACGTGTATAATTCCTTTAAGAAATCATTTTTTAGAAACTTACCTCATTGGGGAGTATGAGAAGTCTAGATATGTGATATCCTTCAAATCCATCCAGGCCGCCAGGGGGACAGGATTCAGTAGCCAGCACTAACACATTTTTGATTTAACAATAAAAATCTAGTGTATGTAATTATAATTTTTTCGGGGAAACTTTCCATTGATTAACTGGAAAAAAGTCTCAATGGATCAAAAATAAAATGCAAATTCTTTTTATCTAAATCCACGGTTTAAATGTTCTGAAGCAATTTTGTGAAGGAAAATAATTTCAATATTTGATTAAATTTCATTACATAAAGTTTAAGCTGGTGAAAAAGCAAGATATTATCTGCAGTTTGACGAGTATATGCAGATATCACGGTGTCACCGTATTATGATTATATCTTGTTAAAAATAAACACAAAAAAATGTTTATAAATACTTGTGAGCATGTGAGGGAGCGTAGCTTGGTCATATTTTTGAAGGAGTTCTCCTGTATACTGGTGAGGTAGTGAGAACTTATATCAAGGAGAACAATCTGACCAGCACCACTCAACATATCAGGGGTCAGAACAGAAATACCCTAGATACATATATATATACTGGTTAGGTATGTAGTAAATGCCTTACTCCATAAAGGTCTTTCAGACCTGTATCAATCCAGGTACAACTCAATCCCTCTCGTTGCATGGTCTATGAGGCATAAGAGCCAATCAGTGTTCAAAAACACTTTACTAAAAAATGTCAATCCGGACACGATTTTTCTATACCAATGTACCAAGTTAAAGTTAATCATTGTAATTACAAGTTTTACGTCGTTATATACAAACGTAATTAAGCTAATCATGTTATGTAGCTATTTACAGCGCAGTTAAAATAAATCATGATTTGGGTTTTACATAGCTATTTACAAACTTAGATAATTAATAATGTACAACGTAGTTCAGGTTTAGAGATCTAGGGTTACAGGAAGTGAGAACATATATCTCAGAGAGTATAATTCCGACCAGCACCACTCAACATATCAGGGGTCAGAACAGATATACCCTAGATATAAATATATACATATTCTAGTCAGGTAGATATACCCTAGATATATATATTTTCTTAATTTAGGTTCCATTTTCATATTTATCAATTGCAGTAGCTACCAGTCACAGAATGGTTATAGATTTGATATCAAACTGCAGGTTTTTAAAATTTTACGCAAGATTACGTTAACGAACGACAAAACCTGTTAAAATTAAGTTCGTTGGAAAAAATCATTTGTTTATTAAAAAAAAAAAGAATATTTTTTTCAAGCTTGTTTGAATGAACAGTTTTTAAATTCTTCATTAACGTTCTGACTGCAAACGATTGTTTTTTTAAATCGTTTGTTTTTGTTTTTCTTGTTTGTTTCAAAAATAACAATATTTTTTTTTCATTTTTCTAAACAAACCAATTCGTTTGTCCATCTTGTGTTAATTTTTCTGAATGACACCATCGTTGACGAAAAATTTTGTTTGTTTTGAAATATTTTGCTCGTTGATGAAAACTATGCCCATCTCTATATATCAAACAAATTATATAACATACCTTAATGTGTAGATTCTCAAGGTTGTCCATTCCCCTGAAGCTGTCCAGGTTGAGCTGGATGTAGTTGGAGAGACAGTAGGGTTGGGCGTACCAAGCACATTGGAAGGATAAATCAAGAGTCTAGTTTAACCAGAATAAATACACACAAATATTCTTGCATTTAAATTTTTTTTCTTTTATGCCATTAAATCAGGAAATGAAGTGAACATGATGAGGGTTAATGTTTTTTGAAGCGAAGGTGCAATAGAAAGTCGTCTTTAACTGTCTTGATATATTCGCAAAGAACTAAATATGTAACGAATACCTACTCCATAACAATTTACTCAAGACATATCTATCCAGATCTACTCGTTACCAAGATCAACCAGGATCAACTCTCCGATATTAAATGCCACAAAGGCACTATCTCAACTAGGCTCAACTCTCCTGTTCTAAAGGACACATAGTCCAAATCTCAACCAGGATTAACTCCCTAGTTTTGAGGGACACACAGTCCAATAAAATTGCTACACGGCAATTTCTCAACCAGGCTTAACTCCATGGTTCTAGAGGACACACAGGCCAAGGAAATTGCTACACGGCAATTTCTCAACCAGGCTTAACTCCCTGGTTCTAGAGGACACACAGGCCAAGGACATTGCTACACGACAATTTCTCAACCAGGCTTAACTCCCAGGTTCTAGAGGACACTCGGGCCAAGGAAATTGCTACACAGGCAATTTCTCAACCAGGCTTAACTCCCCAGTTCTAAAGGACACACAGTCCAAATCTCAACTAAGACACACAATCAAATGAAATTGCTACTAGGCAATTTCTCAACAAGGCTTAACCCCCCAGTTCCAAAGGACACAGTCACACAGTACGAGGCAATTTCTGCCTTCGTAATATGTCAACGAGTACCAAAGTTTTGTTTAAAGCTTACTTAGGCTTCTGATAAGGTAATCAAAAGTAGAGTCTCAATCAACTAACTTTATTCTATAGCTTAGGTTAAACAATTGACAAGAATGGACGTAATTCAATTCCTATGATGTTATTGATATCACATGATTAAGACCATTGTATTACGTATTTATCGCACAGTTAAAGTTTAAGGTATGTATTTAAAGGATTAAAGAGATTAGATAGAATGTAGTTCATCTATTTCTGCCCATATTTTATACCGTAATTTAAATATGTCACATAATTTGAGCCAATCATGTTAAGTATTCGATTGAAACGCAGTTTCAATAAAAAAATCTCATTATGTCTAAGTTTAAAGCATTAAATCATTTATGACGCATGCAACGTACTGCAAGTTTACAGAATATCATGTTTACCCGCTGTTTTCTACAATTAAACTATTTTCGTTTCTTGCTAGAAATAATTTTAATCCTATTCAATGTTTCCAGCTGCATCTTTTAACGAGATTTTAAAATTATAACGAATTTCCCAAGTACTTAGAGAAGATAATCATTTCACTTATTTAGATATTTTTTTGATCCAACATTGTAAAAAAAATTATGATTCTGTTTTCCTTAATATTTGGTATTTGAACAGCTTGTGGAACAGTTAGCAAAGAGTTATGTGACATGTTCAATACTTCTAACCTTCTAAAATATATCATTAAAAGTTTTTTATTAAGGTACTTCATAAATAATTTAAAATTTCAATTTCATACAATACATAGATACAGAAAGCTATGAAAAGTTGCATACATTTTCAAGATTGGGTCGACTGTAAAGTGTCACAAAAGCCTTGACTTTTTGTAGCCCTACACATGTAGATTTGAGAACTAAACTAGAACTAGGTTTAGTTGCTTAAATTTTATTGGCAAAATTCTCATAGACTTATGCGTAAGAATTCTTTGGCAATATGCTCAAACACTGAGGTTTATCGTTCAAGATTTTACAGATTTTTAAAAATATTTATTTTTAATTCTTAAGTCAAGATTTAAGATTTATCTGAGGAGTTCTTGAAGATTGCTTATTCTAACTTATTGCTTTTCTGACACTGCTAATTTTTTTAATCTGAAAAAATGTATGCAAAAAAAAAACAATCTAAAACGACCCTATTAAAACGATCGTTTTGAATAGTAGATTTTCTAAAAAATTTAAAATGGTGCAAAGTTAAATAAACATAAGTTTTTAAATCATAAAATTTAACCAATAAAGTTATTTTCATAAAATTTAACCAATAAAGTTATTTTCCTAAAAATGTGGATTACAAATTAGTATTTTAAAATAAGCTAATAATCAAAATGTTTTGTTTTACCCCAGATGTTGGAAAGCATTCTCTTTAATGTCGGAAATGTAGTTCTTACTGAGAATCAATTCCTCTAAGCAACTAAAAAATTTAATTTTTTAAAATTTTTCTCCAAATTTTAGAAATCTTATTTAATGATCTTATTTAATAAACACAGGAAAACACATTTTATTTAACAAAACTGGAATTGACATTTATTAACTTATGAAACACGAAAAACGAAACAACCAAACAGTTTAAATTAAAAAATATTGTTTTCGTTAAAATTTCGCTCAAAAATATTTATCTTTTCAGTTGTGATTTTTTCGTTGAAAACTCAGAGATTCAAAATTCGCGCCGTTTCGCCGAACTTGGATGATCAGAAATGTCACAACTTTTTTAATCGAGTATAAGAGTTGGAACATGAACGTCCTTAGAAATCTGTTCTATTTTCGTATCAGCAAAATACTAAGGTTTTCATTAAGAGCGAGTTGACACAAATAGAGATGCTAGAAAATTTAAAAAAGGAACCGATTTTTTGCCACAAAAATAGAGATGCTAGAAAATTTTAAAAAGGAACCGATTTTTTGCCACAAAAAATTTTTTATTCCTATGTCATCTGATCTGATTTTGTAAACCTCTGATATTTCAAACTATAAGAGATTTACCTCTATAAGTATGAAATGTCAAAGGTCTACGCCATCGAATTGCAAAGATATAGAAATTTAAAAATCATAATTTTTGGGAAGAACTGAGTTCCTTGCTAAGTTTTATCTTAAAACTTTTAGTTTTTATAAAGTTTATTTTCTGAGTATTATTACCGCAAATATGGAAGGATGGAATACTTTAGAAAAGTTCCAAAAAACAGATTCGATGAAAAGTCAAGCTTCCTGAAAATTAAAAAGATTATCTTTTATTACTGGTGAAAACTTTAAACAAGTAGAATTAGAAAGGTTCACCAGGACGAAATTGAGTCTTTGTTAGACCAAATAATCTAAGTTTAAAGATTTAAACCGACGGGTTGCAAAGATATAATTATTAGAAAATTTTAGTTTGTGACGAAGACTTTCTCTGCATCCTCTCATACAACGAATTCATACAACATTATATATGTCTGGATTCAGTGCATAATAACGCTTCCTCAATTATTTTTATTGAAAAGAACAAAATATATCTTTAGAACTAATTAATCCTTCTATAAACAGCGTAACTTTCTGTAACACTAGCTCAATATATTGCACTGACTCCTGAGTCCTGACATGGTATAAGCGCTTGTGAGTTGTGAACTTGTGACAAAAGAATAATTTCTTAAATTTCCCAAACTTGATGAGTATGAGACAAGAAAACTGTGGAATATGCATCTTTTTATCCAAGACACATATTTGATAAACACGAGTCTACTAGCTAAGATAAAAGGAGTTGAGTTTTTGCCGCAAACTCTGATTTTCTAATCCCTATATCTTTGTAACCCAATATCGTAGTCTTTAGATATTTCAAAATATGAATTGTTTTAGATTAAATATTCTAAGTTTGAAACCTTAAAGATTTACACCATCAGGTTGTAAAGATATAGGGATTCGAGAATTTGAGTATGAGTCAAAAATCAATTCCTTTACAAAATTTCGTAAGAAAAAGAAAAATAAGCAAGGAGAATCTCAATGTTTTCTGGTTTTCATTGTAAAATAAAAGCATGATAATTGCCTACCGTAGACTGTTTTTTGCTACAAAAAGTGAAGCAGTCGGGGTGATAAGTAACTCACTTCTCGCTAGACCTAAATAACTGTAAACACCTTTTACTTCTTTTCTTAGTTTCATGCTTTTGAAATGGTGGTCATCAAAGACAGTAGAATAGTAGAAGATAGGGCATTAGGAATTTATCCGAATAGTGGGTACGCTCTGTACACTTTTATATGATGCCATTGGCTGCAGTATTGGTTTTCAATTCAAGAAATCAACATTAAAACGCTAGTTATCAAATAAATAAATCATTGTAGGTGCTAAAAATGGTGGGAAAATAACGGCACGGTTATAAACTTCTACATTTGTTTTAAAAAGTTATTGGATAGGATGCTCTCCTGGTAAAATAAAGCTAAAATTGTGATTTTGTTTCGCATCTCATTTGTATGAAAAATACCACATATTTTAAAACAAAATTTGTTAGAGTGTCATTAATTATAGTTTAGTTATAGTCTAAAGCAGAATTTTAGTCCAGTAACGTGAAATGGTGGTCATTAGAAGTTAAGTCAACGATGCCTTTACAGATGAAGGTTCTACTGGGATAGAATTAGATTTTATCTCAGAATTTTATAGAGGGGAGCTAAGAGCAGAATAATGGAAAGTTAAAGGTTTCCTAAAGGTATTGCTGGGTAGATATTATAGAGCAGAGCTAAGAGCAGAATAATATAAAGTTAAAGGTTTCCTAAAGGTATTGCTGGGTAGATAGTATAGAGCAGAGCTAAGAGGAGAATGGTTTGGATCCAGCTTGAACAATCCTCCATTCTCTTTTAGTTCCAGTTCCTCCAGAAAATCAAGGTGCTGGAATGTGTCTGAAATAGTTGTGGTCATCCCCAAAGGCAATTTCTCCAAGGGACTTAAGCCCAAAGGAATATCCCCATGATGTGACTCAATCCAAGTGTCTCACTCTCAATCGGCTCATTAATTATATATTCATGCTTCGTGACAAAACCATTTTATTTCTGACAAATGCAAAGATGGCAATGCCCGATTCACAACGGTACCTTTGAAACCTTTATCTGATAAATTTTGTGGAAGATAATTTTTTTTTTTAATGTTTAAAAGTCACTTTTCAAGGTAACCTGCACAATTGGAAACAATTATAAACATTGATATCTATTTCATGCTTAAAAAGACAAATTACTTTTAAAGGTTTCGCATGAATCAGGCATTGCAATCTTGTTGTTTATTAAGGTAAGTACTCTAGATGCGCTCCAATGTAAGGAAAATGTCGTTTTCCTGGACACTTAAATTCCTCATATGACGTAATTGCTTGGCATGGAGGGTCACGTAAAATTAAGCTTACATTCCCTTTAAACAAATCAAATTTTCGAATTTAGTTTCTTTTCATAAAATAATATCTTACAAGGATCTATGTGGGTGAGCTCGCAATCTGAAAAATCCAGTCTCTTGAGTCGAGAATTTCGAATTGTGAAAAATATATTTCTTTCCAGAGTCCTGAAATAAAAGCATTCTAGAAAAAGTGTCTTGTCCCTCATATAACAGTGGGAGTCAAAGACGACTTTACAACAATCTTATGTGTATTTGATATTTCTATAAATCAAATAAATTTACATTTAGCTTGAAAAACATCTTTTCCATGTAAATGAAATGTATATTGTATACTAAATGTGCTTTAATGCCATAATGAAAAACAAGTTATGTTGACAAAGTTCATCCTGACGATATTTGTATGCTTTAGTCACATTTTGATCTCTCATTCAAAATTCGTCAAAAATAACGTAAAAAACTTAATATTTGACAAATAGAACCAAACAAAAAAGCATAAAATAGAAAATACAAAACATGTACATTGACTAAGTTAACATTCATTACATTACAGACCTTAACATAAACAGTATAGAAAACACCTTCATTGATTTTTTTTTGGAGTTTAAAGGCTTTACTGTCAGTATGATTTTACTTGAATTAACCAAAATACTAAATGATTATAATCAAGTGCATTTTTTTCTCTTAATAATAGACCAAGCAGAAATATGCTTACATCAATTAAGAGAATTTTTCAAATCAAACAGGATACTAATTGATATCAACGGACGTCGGACAATTCTTGGATTAAGCAGAAACTTGATTAGAGCCAGCAGCAGAGGAAACATTTAAGAAGCCCTGCGGGGGATGGGCAGTTCCAAATTTTATTGCAAGAATTCTCTGCACTTTTGATTTAAAATTCAAATTAATACAAAAGTAGCAGATGTTCTTCCTCTAGTTTATCGTGAATTTAACCAAGAACTCTAGTTTACCATGAATTTAACCAAGAACTCTAGTTTACCATGAATTTAACTAAGAACTCTAGTTTACCATGAATTTAACCAAGAACTCTAGTTTAACGTGAATTTAATCAAGAACTCTAGTTTACCGTGAATTTAACCAAGAACTCTAGTTTTCCGTGAATTTAACCAAGAGCTCTAGTTTACCGTGAATTTAACCAAGAACTCTAGTTCACTGTGAATATTACCAAGAACATTAGTTTAACGTGAATATTACCAAGAACTCTATACCGTGAATTTAACCAAGAACTCTAGTTTACCATGAATTTAACCAAGAACTCTAGTTTACCATGAATTTAACCAAGAACTCTAGTTTAAAATGAATTCAACAAAGAACTCTAGTTTACCGTAAATTTAACCAAGAACTCTAGTTTACCGTGAATTTAACCAAGAACTCTAGTTTACCGTGAATTTTACCAAGAACTCTAGTTTACCATGAATTTAACCAAGAACTCTAGTTTACCATGAATTTAACCAAGAACTCTAGTTTACCGTGAATTTAACCAAGAACTCTAGTTTAGCGTGAATATTACCAAGAACATTAGTTTAACGTAAATATTACCAAGAACTCTATACCGTGAATTTAACCAAGAACTCTAGTTTACCGTGAATTTAACCAAGAACTCTAGTTTATCGTGAATTTAACCGAGAATTCTAGTTTACCATGAATTTAACCAAGAACACTAGTTTACCGTGAATTTAACCAAGAACTCTAGTTACCGTGAATTTAACCAAGACCTCTAGTTTACCGTTGAATCTTGAATGTTGAATTGCAAATATAAGGAATAAATCAGAGTTTGTGACAAAGACTGAATCCTTTGTTTATTTATTCAATTTGTTACCTGATAGGGTTCCCTGCAAAACTAATGGATTCTAGATTATGCAGTAAATCCTCATTCTAAAATTTGTTTAGTTATAAAATAGTGTTTGTTTATAAATCCATAGAACGTCATAAACGGTTCTGAACCGATCGGGCCCAAATTTGTTAGTGACATCTCAGGAAAGGTTTATAGCTGGTCAAAGTTGAAAATGTTGCCGAAGAAAAATGTCGACATTTATTAATTTTAAGCTTATACAATATTAAAACAGAGAAAAGTCCATGAAAATCATTGTGTATGATGAAAAATTGCGACTTGAAAAGCAACAGTTAAATGCTAAAATCGTGACTAAAAATGGGATCGCAAAGCGCCATAAAAGCCTTTTAAAATAAAAAGAACTGAAAGCATTTTTAAACAAAATGTTCATAATTTCGAACAAAATGTTCATAAATACGAAAAAAATGTTCATAATTACGAACAAAATGTTCATTATTTTGAAAATAGAAATGATCATTATTTCGAACAAAATGTTTGCTATTTTTAAAATGCTTTCAGTTCTTCTATATTACGAACAAAAGGTTAGACCGGTATCTCTTCTAACAAAGATATCTATATATTATATATATAACTATGCTTGTCTGGCTGTCTGTTTGTTTGTCCGTTTGTGTCCAATAAACGTCAAAACGACTGAACCGACTGGACCCAAATTTTTTGTTGGACCTAACATCACCCCAGGTAAGAATTACAAAAGATTGTCTCAAAAAAATATTTAAAATTTAGAAAATCCACGAAAAAAAGTGTAAATCCGCAAACAAATTATTTTGTTTTATTTAAGATACAATACAGTGGTAGGCGATTACAAAACTACGAAGAAGACTTTCAATTTAAATTTTGATTTATATCAAGCTGTTAAACAGCATGGATACATATAAACATAGAAGTCAAGAGAAGAAGTCAATTAAAAAAGTTTCTCTTTGATTACTTGTGAACTTGCAATTCGAAAAAAGCTTGTTAACAACAAAAACTTAAATAAAAAAAGTCGTCCTTATTGTATTGATATAATCGCCTACAACTGTATCCGAATTCAAAATTTAAAATAGGCGCGAAGCACCCTGATAGCCTAGTATCTAAAACTGTTTAAAATTTATTAAATCACCTTCTGGTATTCGTCTACATCTGTCAGACTAATAGAGTTTTTACTCAGATCAAGATGAGTTAAGTTCGTTAAATCCTAAATTAGGAATTAAAAAGGGACTGTTGACACAATTCTATTTGAACCTCCATTTATAAGAGTTAAACTAGTTCGATTCACAACAGTAACCTTTACATTTTTGTAGAGGAAAATTGATTGAGATATCCTTGTTATCATAACTGAAAAATTACTATTTTCTCTTTTAAATTGGCTTGCGGATATATGCAGCTGAGACCCCCCCCCCCTGTAATCTTGAAAAAAAAAACCCCCCCCCCCCACCCCTTTATTGATAAACAGTTCTATTTCCCGCTCTGGTACTATAAAAATGACAGTTCCTTTAAAGTATGGGTACGCAAATTTCTTAATTAATCCATATATTTATCTAAAAACAATATAAAAACAATATTATTGATTGAACTTTATACTGTACATTAACATTATACATATCATATTGTATGTGTTTCCATATTTCTAGCTTGTATTTAATATTGTGACTCGTATTATGTTGTTTTAAACTAAACATTCTAGAGTTTAATTGCTCATAATTACTGTAGGGTGAAATACGTCCCCTTCTCTGAGCAATTATAAAGCACCGGTTTTTATTCGTATTATGTTGTTTTAAACTGAAAGTTCTAGAATTTAGTTGCTTATAATTACCCCATGGTAAAATTCGTCCCCCTTTTTGAGCAATTATAAAGCACCTGTTCCCTTAAGAACCAATTAGATCTCATGCAACGCATTAAAAAGTACCTAACTCTTTTCTCTCCTCCAATAGGAACCCTTACTGTCCAATTATGTATCATTTATGCCCAATTATGTGATTATAAATGTAACCAACCAATCAAAATCTGAATAGTTCAATTATCGCGCGCAGTTCCTGCTCCCTTGGGAGTATAAAAGGGGGCTTGATTTCTCCCCAAGCTGAGTTCAGAGCAAAAATTTCTCCATAGTGAAACTGCGCGTGATTCTCCCTATTCAGGTCTTGAAGTTTTCTTTATTACTTTTCGCTTTTGCTCCCCTTTTCTATTTCCAAGTTTAGCTTAGTTCTTTTTGATTGATTCTTTTACTCTGAAGGCTCGTATTCATGTATTTTCTCCCTCGTACTTAGTTTTTAAGGATTTGTGTTGATTAATGTTCAAGAGAAATAAAATATCCTTTGTGCTTTTAACTAGTTTATTTGAGACCAGAACTTTGAGTTCAGATTTATTTCAAGTAAGGTAAAGAATCACACAGTAGTCAATAAATAAAAGAGAAGGATAGTTGAGCAGTTTGGTTTTTTGAATATTTAAGTTAGAATTAAAAGTTTTGTCTTTCTCTTACAATATCATATTATTCTGATGAAGGGAGAATTATGTTTTATTTCCTGCTATTATTTTTAAATCATGTTGTTCTTGCAGGAGACTGCAAGTAGTTTGTATGTTTATTTTTAGAGTTAAAAATAACCAAAATACATCCCATTACATGAATATCAAATACATCCCGTTACAGGAATATCTTTGCAACCTGATGGCTAAAACTTTTGATGTTTTAAACTATCAGAGTTTGTTGCAAAAACTCAATTAATTTCGATTTCTTTAAATCTTCGATATCAGCACGAAAACATTTTGTATTAAAAGATAGAGATTAAACCGAACCTGAAAATTTGCAAAGAAAGATTGAAAAATGGAATTCTTTGCTTGGATAAGATTTCCTCCCAGATGCAAGTATTTTATATCTGCCAGTCCAGTTAAATCACTTCTAAAAACAAACATATTAGGAAGAAACTGATTACTCACAACAAAACATATCAATCCCTTGTTCCTTTGTTCTAGCTGGTGCTTAAAGCACATTTTAATAATAATCAATGTGGTTTACCTGGTGATGTTTGTGATCTTTGTGTTGGTGACGAGAAGAACATTTATAGATTTATTTCTTAAACTTAACTCTTCCAAGCTACTCAGCTCAACATTCCTAGAAAACAAAAAAAAAAAACGTTAAAAAAATTTAACATTATTTATAATTAGAAATTTGAGGTTACAAGAATTGATAATACAAATATAGAAAAAATGTTCACTTTGAAACCGTTGATATTTGACAAGGCTAAACCAAAAACCATTGTTTTTGAACTGCAAATATTAGAAAGTAAGTAAAGTAGGGCCCATAAAACTGTGGAATAGAAAGACGACTTTTGAGCAAACTTATGTTTAAGATACAAATAGTTTGACCACTTAATAATAGCTCTTGAAAATCAGCTTGTTGCATGAAATGAGTCTGTTTATACTACACAATATCTGTGTTTAATAAATCAGAAAAACAGTCGTCTTCTTAATTTCCACAGATTTATGGATCCCACTGTATAAACCTGACGTGCAGGTAGGTCAACATGGCTGGTATATGATCAGGCTCAATCTTGGCACTGTTCTCACATATCATAAACTCCAGACTCTAAACATACACAGATTAACTCCAGGCCCAAAACATAAACAGATAAACTACAGACTCTAAAAATAGACAAATAATCTCCAGACTCTAAACATAAACAGAAAACCTCCAGGCTCTAAACATAAACAGATAATCTCCAGACTCTAAACATAAACAGATAAACTCCATACTCTAAACATAAACAGATAAACTCCAGACTGTAAACATAAACAGATAAACTCCGGCCCTAAACATAAACAGATGAGCTTCAGGCTCTAAACATAAACAGATAAACTACAGGCTTTAAACATAAACAGATATACTCACTAAACGTAAACAGATAACTCCAGACTCTAAACATAAACAGATAAACTCCAGGCTCTAAACATAAACAGATAAGCTCACTAAGCATAAACAGATAAACTCCAGGCTCTAAACATAAAACGATAAACTCACTAAACGTAAACATAAACAGATAAACTCCAGGCTTTAAACATAAACAGATAAACTCACTAAACGTAAACAGATAACCCCAGACTCTAAACATAAACAGATAAACTCCAGGCTCTAAACATAAACAGAAAAGCTCACTAAGCATAAACAGATAAACTCCAGGCACTAAACATAAAACGATAAACTCACTAAACGTAAAGAGTTCAACTTTAGGTTCTAAACATAAACAGATAAACTCACTAAACGTAAACAGATAAACTTCTGGCTCTAAACATAAACAGATAAGCTCACTAAACATAAACAGATGAACTCAGTAAACGTTTACAGATAAACTTTAGGATCTTAACATAAACAGATAACCTCCAGGCTCTAAACGTAAACAGATAAACTCCAGATACAATTCTGTATTATAGTGATATTAAAAAGTGATTTGTAACCTGAAAAATATTCTTCAAATGATGAAGAAGAAAAATGTTCGCTTTGTTTTACCTTGTCAATGAAGTAACAAGGGGAAGTGCTGTTGACTGTATGAAGAACTTCAATATGTGTAAATATATTCTCCGTAACCCATTCTCTACTACGATAAAGCACAATTAATCAATCAATCAACAATTTATAAATCAATCAAACACGTTTTAAGATAAAAAGTAAGAGCAATACTTTCCCTTGCATGAATCAATAAACATTCCAGTTATGTTTTTAATGAAAGTTTTTAAAAATACAAAAAGTTAATATTTGAGAAGTCCAACTCAGTAGTTTTTAATTGCAACTTAGTCTCGACTCTCGACGCCACTAGTTTTTATTTCAACTTATTTCAATTATCTACGAAATACGAAGTATAACTAAATAACGCATAACTTAATAACAGTATTTAAATACGCTTATATAATTCATACATTGTTTTTTTTTTAATAAACCGGATTAAATAGCTCTATAGTCCTGATATTAAATAGCCCTATAGTCCTGCTATTAAATAGCCCTATAGTCCTGCTATTAAATAGACCTATAGTCCTGCTATTAAATAGCCCTATAGTCCTGCTATTAAATAGCCCTATAGTACTGCTATTTCGAAATTGTGGTCTGCCATTTTTTGCTTTGCTAAAAACCAGAGATATTAAGAATTTGTTAAGATTTCATTTTATCAAACAAAACCATGAAATTGTCTAATTCTCAACAAAATCATTAATATATCCTGTTAAGATGAAAGAACGCAGGAAAAAAGGCAAACCATATTTTACGATTATTGTTTCATGAAAAATATTTCTGCTATTAGGATACAAAATTGAATGCCACAAACTATTTCGAAGGTCAAAAACGACTTTAAAGTCTTCAATAAGTTAATAATTTATTCCGTTTAATTAAGAACTGCTGGCTTCAGCACAGCTCAATAAATATTTGCCATCATATTAATCAGTGGATTCTATGGTTTTCGGGGTGTTTTTTAGGCCCCAACCGGTGCTAAGTAGAAAAACAAAAATCAAAGTCATGCCACTGGACAAATTCCTGAAGACGCCCCTGACTGCAAGTATTATATAGCTTATTTCTAAGGTCATTAAAACTATGAAAAGGTGGACTCTCTGCGTTACTGTAACTCTATTTTAATGCTCCTCCCCAGCCCTAAGTCTGGGTGTGTTTCTACTTTTTTGTAATAGTTCGTTCCGCTCCATTCCTTTCCGTAAAATAATGATCGCGTTCCCCAGGAACAAAGCCCCTCCCCCCCCCCCGCTTTCCAATTCATCACTTCTTAATAACCACAAGTGACAGTTGACACAATTTGACATCGAAAATTGCGATCGTTTTTGTTTCGTTTTGGACTGACAAACCTTTGCTATTAAATCGAATAGTGAAAACTAACCAGGGTCGGATACAGGATTCAAGTGAGGGGGGGAGCAAGATTTTTGAGGAACAAAAAAAATGAAAAATTAGGAACAAAAAATCGTGCCGCAGGCGAAATTTTTTTTTACTTAAAAGACTCCAAAAGAGTCAAAATTAATGACCAAAGACTAAAAAACTATATTTTTAAATTTTAGGAACAAAATTAAAGGATTAGAACAGGAATTTAGGAACAATTAAAAGATTGTTCAGGAATTAGGAACAAAAATAAAAGGGGGGGGGGCGAATGTCCCCCCGCCCCCTCCTTGTATCCGCCCCTGAAACTAACTATTTATGTATTAGTTTTAAACGTTGAAAAGGAAAAATGAAACGACAAGCGAATATAGTTTCGAAGCAAAACGATAAATGTTGTCAAAATTTGTTCAATTGAAATTCCGGGAATAAAATTTTTCTGAAACAAGGGTTTGGATCAATGGGTCAGATCAGTTCGATTTTGTGAATACGCCTAATGTATATTTGTAGAAATAGTCTTCTGATAACTACATTATAATCAAGTTTTCATATACTTTGGTCCATAGAATAATTAACAATAACAACACTAGTGTTGACTTTAAAAGTCACTATAATAAAATAAAGAGATCTAAAATGGATATTTCTAACATTTATTTAAAAAAACGAGTGTTTTGAAATATTTGCATTTAAGGCGGAGTTAAAATTGGTTGATTTAGAAATTAACAAAGGAATTAATGATGGATATTTGATGGTACTTCATGGGAGTGTTGTAGAGCTTCATGTTGGTAGAGCAGATCAACAGGAACTGGGATTACAGGGCTTATCAATGGAACTAAGGCAATGCAACTCGAGATAGCGGAAACTTCGGTCAGAGCCGTGCACAAGTTTCCTAAGTAAGCTTCTCAAGAAGTTAATAGGAAGATCAGAGGTATAAGCACGCCTGCTGCCAGCTCAGTATCTGCATCGTCAGCATGAAGGAGTCAAGAGGCTCCCTGTGTCGGAGCTGTTACCAGCCCAACTCTCCTAACCTGACTGACTGGGATGTGTTATAGAGGGGTGAGGTGGGGAAAGAAGGAGCGAGGGTTACATGTGTGTACTTCATGGCGGAAATGGATCTTGTGTACACACACATCTTGAGAAAAGGCTATGGCATTTGAGTCGGAAAAATCGTCTTCCTTATATTTTCGAATTTGTGTTAACAACTAGATGTAGTCTTTTCAAGATTTAGGGGTTTTTCGTTCACAATAACCCTGAGGCAGAAGCCAAAAGGAGTTATAGAGAAAGAGCCTGTTCGACACCGCATGCGCGTAACTTCTTTTGGCTTCTGTCTCAGGGTTATTGTGAACAAAAAAACCCTAAATCTTGAAAAGACGACATCTAGTGTTCTATCTGTTATCATCAATTAATTTATCCTTTGGTCCATAAACTATTAAAGATGGTTTTTTTTTATGTAGATAACGGTCAAAACGACCAAAATACCAAATAAATACCAAAAAGATCGCTGACCGTTTTTGTTTATTTTTATTTAAAAAAACAACCTATAATTCGGTTTTTAAAAGACTGTTTCGTTTTCAGTAATTTTTTAACGAAACGATCAAAGGAGTTTTTTAACAAAATGAAAACTGCCCATGCAGGCAATTTACAAATTTATCTAATTATTCTAGGAAAATGACAGCTAGGGTTAAAAAGGCTATTTTATTATGAAAGATCTTGTGCTAATTGTTTCCAGACAATCAAGTTGGACGCATTAAAATGATGGCGCACATAAATACATTGTATGCTTTATATTTTCATAATAAATGGATCAATAAATGGATCAATAAATGGATCAATAAATGGATAAATAAATGGATAAATAAATGTATCATTAGATGGATCAATAAATGGATCAATAAATGGATCAATAAATGGATCAATAAATGGATCAATAAATGGATCAATAAATGGATCAATAAATGGATCCAAATTACCTGAGTTTTTGTGGTTCTAATGATAAAAAATTTCTGTGATTCTCAATATCATTTTTGTAACTAACACTCTTAACATTTTGATGAGTATAAACACTATTTTTGATATTTCTCGACTCAATATCTTTTGAAACTAGACTTAATCCCAATGTAAACTGTGTCCAAGTTGGGATTCCCAAAGCCAAAAAAACAAAAATGTTCCAATAAGCTTTAGAAATCATTTTCATCACTTTAATTCATGAAATTTAAACTGTTCAATGGCTGAAATCTTAATCTTTTCACCAGAGAGGGAAAGAATATTTTTTTTGTTGGAAAAACTTTTTTTAAAAAGATATTTTTTCTTTCAAAACAAACACTATTAAAAACATAACCTTTTAAGGCAGAAGGAACCCCCCTGCTGTGATAAGAACTGGAAGTTTACGTCTTAAAGATTATCTTTGTTCGAATTCTCTAAATAAACAGATCAAAGAAAATTATTAAAACTATAACTTTATTGCATGAATGCTGGGGGCAAGTTCAGGGAGATAAAGTTATGCAGGAACGCAAGAGTAAAAATGTTTATATTTAGCTTACCATGACAAGTAAGGGTATATGTGTGTGATTGATTATAATTTGAATATGTATACTTTAAACCCCAAAATACGTCGACTAATGACGTCAAATGGGTCTGTGTTTATTGCACAATTGCTGTTTTTAATATGTTGAGTGGACAAAATGGAGTCTAACCCTTCTTTCCAAAAGTAAGCATACCTGAGTCCAATTGTATTAAATAAAAATTATAATTTAATAACAACTTTAATTTAATTTAATAATGCAGTTTAGAAGTCGGCTCTTAGAATCATCGGAATCACAGTGCAGTGGTCGTCAAATATATAAATTTAATGAAGACGACTTTCGACTTTAGTTTTGGATTTTTACCAAGCTTTCAGACAAACATGGAAACAAAGAGAAGCTGTCAGTTGGCAAAGGCGCTATAGCTATAGCTATACTCTGTGTTTACTTGTAAACTTGTAATATGAAAAAATTAAAGCTTAAAACTTGAAGAGAAAAGATGTCTTCATTGTATACCACACAGATACTACACTAGTACACACAAATTTGATAATTTTTCAAAATAAAACTTTTCATATATAATCAAAAGAAATTAGTTCATCCATAATTCAATTTTCCTAATTTCAGAATATCATTTTAAATTTATTTTTAATCATAATGTCTTCTTACATTAAAAAAATATATTTTGTCATATTAGTGACAACATTGTCCTCCTGTAATTCCTGGTTTCAACCTTTTTTATTCCTCTTATCGTTAAATTTTTTTAAATAATATTATTTCTCGTAGACAAATTATTGTTTCTGATAGATTAAAATTTTTTAATCCATTTCAAAGACAATGTCCCCAAAAAATGGTTCCAATCGGTTTAACAGTTATACGTTTATTTGGAATAATAAACCATGAATAATAAACAAAACATTAAAATGCATGTATATTACACAGCAAAGATGATAAACATAAAAATGCCCAAAAATTGTCTGAACCCAGCCAAACCCTGAAATAATTTACACAAATATTTTCTTGTTTTTTAACTATTTTGTGTTTTTAAAACTATTTTTAGTATTTTAAATATTCTTTTGACTTTTTGTTCATTTTAAATATTTTTATGTTCTTTTGAAACATTTTTTTTGTTAAATTGAACTATTTTTTTTGCTAAATTAAACTATTTTTTGTAAATTTAACTATTGTTCAATTGAACTATTTAATTTAAAATATTTTGATGTTCATATGAAATATTTTTTGTTCATTTAAACTATTCTTTAATTATTGTTTGTGAATTTTACTTCATATATGAACTATCCAATCTCAAAATTAAAAACTGCTGATGTTTAAAGAAAATAGTTCAAATGAGCAAATATTGTGTTAATTTAAACTGTAATATAGAATATATGACGTCATGTCAGTATATGTTTAAATGAGCAATAGTTCAAACGACCTATAGTTTAAACGGCTGCAGTTCCTGCAGAAGTTCAATCAGATACAGGGTGTCCCACGAAACATGACAATAGCAAGACGACTTGAAAGTCGTCTTTGATATTTGAATTTATTTGTGACATTTAGTCTTCTATCTACTTTAACATGTATGATTCTTGAAACAATTATCACATAATAATTCTCCTAGCCCTGGCATTTCCAAAAAGTGGTCTGTGTTTTTTGTGCTTTCAATATTACCGGAGATATAAAGAGTTTGGTTCAGATTTCAATTTTGCTAAATAAAAGCAAAATTGTCGAAATCTGAACGAAATTGTCCTTATTGTCCTCGGGCAATATTGAAAGCACAAAAAATGCTGACCACATTTTGGAAATGGCAGGACTAGGGGAATTTTGTGATTATTATCTCTAGAAATTTACTTCTAAAATTATAGGTTGACAAATAAATGCAGCAAATTATATCAAAAATCAAGACCGATATTCAAGCCGTCTTGCATATAATGTCATGTTTCGTGGGACACCCTGTATCCACACGTTAAATGCAACAAAACGGTAATGTTTCATCGTTTATACGCAACATCCTCCCTACTAAACTTCCGACCCACTAACTTTCCGACCTACTGCAATATTGGACCTACGCCAGCTGTTTATTTTTGTATTATTAGGTTAAGACAATTTCTGGACCGAGCGCTGCGGCTAGGACAGGCTAGGGGGCCGGGCGCTGCGGCCACAGTCCATATATGCAGCTATAAAACCACGTGCTTGTAGGTCGGATGGGCAGTAGAGGGGATGGGCGTAGGTCCAAAAATACACCATCCATGATTACTTATGAAATGTACAAAGACGACCCTAAATAATTTAAAGAACGGTACGCGGTATCATGTTAATAATTCTCATATGTCTGCGGCTGCCCGCTTCGCCCGCCTAACGTCAAGAAATAATATTTCGAAGTTTTTTAAATCAAAAATTTTCCCATTCTATGAACGCGTATTTATCTGTGTAAGAAAATAACTGAAGTAACAAAAATGATTTTATTTTACCGATAAAAACTGAGCAATGGCTGACGTTGAGAATTTGTGTAGTCGCGTCTTTATTATATCGAATATAAATGAATTAAATACATATCCATATTAAATAATATCGGGTAATTTCCTAGAGAACGATTTTTGGCTCCCGCCCCTCTGCTCCCCCCCTCCTATCAATTTTGTACATGGATCTTATATGTTAGACATGGATATAATTGACCATGTGGCCGCAGCGCTCGGCCCCCTAGCCTGTCCTAGCCGCAGCG